CCTGCGCAGTATCTTAGCTGTTCCCAGGACTGCGCTCTTCTGGACAGAGATCTCCGATGTTGTTCCCGGGATCTGCTGGAGCCACTCGCCTAGCTTGGGGGTCACCGCACCTAGTGCTCCGATTACCACGGGGACCATATATATATATATATATATATGTTGTTAGAAGAAAACCAGCGAACATGATGGAAGACTAGAGAAATCACAGAGAGAGCTGGGGCACACTAACAGAGGTAAGTACAATTAGCAACTGAGTAATCACAGGAAATGAACAGCTGGTGATTGATGACAAGCTGGTGTGAAGATCAGGATTGGGACAAGGAGTCAGGTGTCACTCAAACAAACATTCGTAAATCTTTGTTTGGCGTCTTTCTCCCTTTTTTTTGTAATAACTCTTGAGCCAGGTTGTGACATTGATTCAATGTCAGCATGGCTGCCTTCCAGACTGGGCAGAGAAGTCAATGCATTGTCTTTCCATTAAAAAAGTACTGTTTTTAATTAAGCAGATTTGAAACAGTTTCTTGAGCTAAGTAAGAACTTGCCAACTCCCTCTCCAATCAGTGTACCATATTTAATTTTGAAAAGTTAATGAAGTACAATCAACTAATCTAGAGGTGCCTGTATAACTATTCCGAGTCTGAGGTCTCCCAGTTCTTCAGAGCCAGAGTTGGAGATCTGTGACTCTCTGAATGAATGCCAACATAAGAAAGAAATCAGCACTCTGGACTCTCCATGTTATCTTATCAGCAAATTATGCTGTGGCAATATTGTGAAAGATTGTGGAGGCTCGGAGCACCCACATGTCAATAAAAAGAGGTGTACGGGACATTCACTCTATTGGTCTTGCTGCAAACATCCAGGTAATACAACACTTACCTTTCTACTATTAAAATGGTTCTAAATGTAATGCAGGTTCAGTAAAAATGTGTTTTGTGAATTTCTTTTTGTAGTATTCTGTCTTGAGAATTTGTTTGCATATATTATCAGACTGTTTCGATGCTTTGTTGTTTACAATGGGAAGCTACAATGGGAGTGATTATTTATTATTTCAGATTAACTGTAAACAGAGGTGTGGCCAAGGAGGATTTGGAGTAAATTATTTCAGTAATTCATATTAACATATACAATTAATAAGGGTTGCAAGATGTAATCTTGTAATGTAAATTACACAGGTAAAAGTCTAACATTGCTCCTAATGTGGCTATGATAATTGCTATTATGAGTGTTTATTTATTAGCATTTATAGTGTGGATGTGTTCAGTGGATGAATGGCTTTTAAACTAGGGCTGCTCAATTAATCGAATTGTAATCACGATTACGATCTGGGCTTTCAACGATCATTAAAAATGACTGAGACGATTATTAGCCCCTCCCTCGTGCTTTACTCTCGCGCTGCTCCATGTGGCAAATCGAGCACCTCTCTGCATTTTGAACAGGTATCACAACAATTAAGAGGACCCAGGGAAGCTCGGAAAGCTAAGCAGAAGTTATTTGGAGGAGAGTGACTGCCGTTGGTTGAAAAGAGAAGTAAAAAAAAACTTTAGTGGTGTGGAAACATTATGGATTCGCGGAGTCAGACGTGGATCAAGTAGACACAGTGTGTAAACTTTGCTACAGTGTCGTAACTGCACCACCGAGCAACACTGCAAAGTTCACGAAACACAGATGTTTACATTTTTCATTTATTTTTTTATATTGCAAACATTTGCATTGTTATCAGTATTTGCACACTATTTTATATTATTTTTTAAAGTCATTATTCAATACATTGTTATTGTTAACCCTTTAAATCCCTGTAGAACCGGGTAAGCTAGCGCAATAATTTGTTTTGCATATGAAACCAGAGGAGTTGTACTTACATCTTATGCCATCAGCTTGTCCCGGGTCACAGTTTCCTTCCACATAAAGCTTTGCAAAAATTGCATAAAAAGCACTTGCAGCAACAAAAACATTATATTCCAGAAACATGCTTTGCCGATCCGATCAGCTGTTCGTAACACTTCCCACATTGAACAAGACGTCAACACGAACTATCGCATGTCCGCCATTTCCTGTCCGAAACCGGAAGTGACGTCATTTTCGCGGAAAATGTAGTTTTTTACTTGTAGGCCTTAAAAGCCTATACTGGTGTTTTTATAAGTCATGTTTGACTCTATACTTTTCTG